CTTCTGGCAAGACTTCTAGATCAGCAGTTCTCAAACTGTGGGTCGGGACCCCAAAGTGGGTCGAGAGCCCATTTTAATGGGGTCACCAAGTTTGTCTTAGACATGCTGGGGCCCCGGGCCAAAGCCTGAGCCCCACCACCTGGGGATGAAGCTCACGCTCAAGGGCTTACATGCGCATGTTCAGGTTACAGGCCCCCTGCCTGGGGCTGAAGCCCTTGGGCCTGGGCTTTGGTCCCCCTCACCCAGGGCAGCAGAGCTCAGGCTTCGGTCTCCTCTCCTGGGGTCATGTAGTAATTTTTGTTGTCAGAAGGGGGGGGGGGGGTTGCAGTGCAATGAAGTTTGAGAATGCCTGTTCTAGATGGATATCTTCTTCAATGGCATCACCTCTCAGTGAATGGAAATTGAAGCAATGTGTGTAAACCAGGGATGGGCAAACTTTTTGGCCCAAGGGCCACAACTGGGTGGGGAAATTGCTTGCAGGGCCTAAATGTAGGGCTGGGGCAGGGGGTTGGGGTGCGGGGTGTGGGAGGGGGTGCAGTGTGCAGGAAGGGGCTCAGGGCAAGGGGTTGGAGTGGAGGAGGGGGTGCACAGTGTGGGAGGGGGCTCAGGGCAGTGGTGCAGGGAGGGGTGTGGAGTGCGGGAGGGGGCTCAGAGCAGGGGGTTGGGGTACAGGAGGGGTGCAGAGTGTGGGAGGGGGTTGGGGTTCAGGCAGGGGGCTAAGGGCAAGGAGTTGGGGTGCAGGGTGTGGCAGAGGGTTGGGGTGCGGGCAGGGGGCTCAGGGCAAGGAGTTGAGGTGTGGGGTGCAGGAGGGGTTTGGACTACGGCACGGCGCTGCTTACCTGGAGTGGATCCGGGGTGGCAGCAGCACACACCAGGGCCAGGGCAGGCTCCCTGCCTGCCTGCCTGCACTGGCCCCAGCCCCACGCCACTCCAGGAAGCGACCGGCACCATGTCCCTGCGGCCCCTGGGGAAGAGGGGGCAGAGAGCGCCGTGCGCTGCACTTGCCTGTGGGTACCTTCCCCGAAGGTCCCATTGGCTGCGGTTCCCTGTTCCCGGCCAATGGGAGCTTTGGGGGAGGTACCTACAGGCAAGGGCAGTGCGCGGAGCCCGAAGATTTGCAGAATTATGGTAATTATGGTAGAAATGTATCACGTCACATATACATTTGCATGGTGATTTTTTGTTATTCAGTCATGTCCCCAAGTACATTCTATTTGGGAAGAATAGCTGTTGAGAAACAAGTCCAAAGTGTTGATCTGCTCGACGGAAGGCCACAGACACGTACGTTTGTCTACACTGGTAAAAAAGGTTTCAGAGTAACAGCTGTGTTAGTCTGTATTCGCAAAAAGAAAAGGAGTACTTGTGGCACCTTAGAGACTAACCAATTTATTTGAGGATAAGCTTTCGTGAGCTACCGTGCATCCGATGACGTGAGCTCTAGCTCACGAAAGCTTAGGCTCAAATAAATTGGTTAGTCTCTAAGGTGCCACAAGTACTCTTTTTTTCTTTTTACTGGTAAAAAAAGGGGTATTTTTTTCTGAGCAAAACTGACATGCACAAATGTTTTACGCTAATTCACAGTTTTATAAAATGTTTTGATTACATTGGAACCCACGTATGTTCTGAGAGTCAGGTCAGACCATTTTGAATTATATCACACTTAATAATTACTGTCTGCAATGTTATGGATTAATGTTGCTTAAGCAAGCATTGACAGGAGAGAATGGAAGGTCGTTCAAAAGCCTGGAAGAGCTCAAATAATAGGAAGTTCTAGGATCTGGAGTATGATGGTTCCAACTTGCTTTAGCAATCTATTTGTTTCTATCTTTACCCTGAATCTGGCCATATCTATGTGTACAGCGCACCGATATAGCTGCGTTCCTGAAGCGCATCTGGTGAAGATGCTCTATACTAATGGGAGACCTCTCTCCCGTCGGCATAAAAAACCCCACCTCCACGAGTAGCATAAGCTATGGCAGCAGAAGCTTTCCCGCCAACATAGTGCTGTGCACATGAGCGCTTATGTCGCTGTAATTTCTGTCGCTTAGGAGGGTGGAATATTCACACTCCTGTGTGACATATGTTCTGCCGACCCAGGCTGTAGTGTAGACGTAGCCTAGGTTTAAGGTGATTTATTTTCTGTGTCCTACACCAGGGGTGGGCAAACCTTTTGGCCCAAGGACCACATCGGGGTGCAAAACTGTATGGAGGGCAGGGTAAGGAAGGCTGTGGCTCCCCAAACAGCCCGGCCTCCAGCCCCCTATCCCCCCCTCCCATTTCCTGCCCCCCTCAGAACTCCTGACCCATCCAGCTCCCCCTGCTCCTTGTTCCCTGACCACCCCCTTCTGGGACCCCTCTTCCCTAACCGCCCCCCCCCAGGACCCCACCCCCTATCTAACCCCCCCACTCCCTGTCCCCTGACTGCCCCCCCAACACCTATCCACACTCCCACCCCCTGACAGGCCCCCCCAGGACTCCCCCGCCTATCCAACCCCCCCTGCTCCCTGTCCCCTGACTTCCCCAACCCCTATCCACACCCCTGTCCCCTGGCAGGCCCCCCAGGACTCCCACACCTATCCAACCACTCCCTGCTCCCTGACCGCCCTGCCCTCAGAACCTTCGCCCCATCCAACCGCACCCTGCTCCCTGTCCCCTAACTGCCCCCCCGGGACACCCTGCCCCTTATCCAACTCCCCCACCCCCTTACCATGCAGCTTAGTGCAGCAGGAGCTCGCAGCCCCGCCACCCAAACCGAGCCAGCTATGCTGCCCACGCAGCAGCGTGGCTGTGGGGGAGGGGAGACAGCAGGGGCGGGGCCAGGGACTAGCCTCTCTGGCCAGGAGCTCAAGGGCCGGGCAAGATGGTCCCGCAGGCCGGGCAAGATGGTCCCGCAGGCCGGATGTGGCCGATGGGCCGTAGTTTGCCCACCTGTGTCCTACACAGTAAGAGGAAATACTGCCATTAAAAAAAACCCTCATGTTAATCCAACTGCAAAGAAATATTTGTGCTTTTTAAATTCCAAATAGAGGCCAAATGATGTTACTGTATTTGCTTTCAGCGGGCTGCATGTCTCTCACTGCAGATGAATAGTGTGTGTTCTGAGCTCCACTGTCATGGCTCCTTTTTTGTGAATGAGTTTGATGCAAATTCTAATGGGCTTCCAAGGAATACCTTATGATATAATTTGTATTTTGCAGCCGTAAATGCTCAGTCTCTTTCTTTCTTTCTTCCACCATTTGAAGGGCTACTCTACTATAGAATGCCATCACATGTAATAAATGAAGAGGCACAGACATTGGATTACACACCATGGATTCTCTTAAAATATAGAAGACAAGGTATTAGGAGTGTTAAATAGTATGCCCATCTGAATCTGTTCTTGCTTGTCATCTGCACTTTGTTCTATTGAATCTGGAATAACCCCTTAAAGGAAGGTAAAATGCCATTCATGGCATGAGCGTAGTTCACCAAGAGCATGTGAAAATCAAAGATGTTCCCTGCCAGCAGCATTCCAAGTTGGGAACGTCAAAAGCAGCTGTGAGGTTTGATCTACCCTGCCTATTTTTAATGGGATGTGTCATTGTTAAAAATAAAAAATACATCTGCAGACATGTAAAGTGAGTTTCTGACACTGGTGATTCAGATTCACATTGGGTGAGAGTGGTATTACACTCAAGAGTGTACCTTTTTTGGCCCACTGTGTAATGAACACACGAAACAGGATGCTTGAATTTCTATGTCCCAGCTAACTGCCATTAAAATCAGTGGATGCTCTTCAATTAACTTTTATAGGAATTGGATTGTTCCTGCCCTCCTTTCAGCTCAAAAGTAAAATAATCCTGTCCTGTATCTTTCAGTAGAAAGAAAGGCCACCTGATCATCTTGCTGAATTAATCCCATTATATACTGGATTATCTGGGTATCAAAATTTTGTATCAAACCGAGACTCTTGGTTTACAACTTCTAGACCTGGGAATCAAAACAAATTATCATCTGATTCAAGTGAAATCTTCACTTACATGTTGTTCCATCCACAGAGCTGCAAGGTCAGTGGTATCCGTTCAGCTAAGGTATCAGCTCTTGTACGTATCTAGTATCAGTACATTTAAAATGTCCACTAATTAAAATTTGCAGCTGTCAATTTTAAATGAAAGAGAATAAGATTTTCATGACAATGTAATGTTGGTTCCATTAAATGTTTACGGCTGGAAAGGTTGGTGTTTGGGAGGCAGAGGAGGGATAAGGGCCCATTCCTTCAAGGTGCGGAATACCCTCAACTCTCATTTGAAGTCACTGGATGCTGAGGATGCTCAGCCCCTTACAAACAGTGCTTAACACCTCACAAGACTGGGCCCTATTTCAAGATCATTATCATAATATTTTGCCTACATACTGGTGATGGAGGAAAATATTGTATAATTCCATCAGTTCTGAGAAGTTTTACCTACTCCTCAAGAGAAAATAAATCAATATTGAGTAGCTAGATGTTTCTCTTTATATCTCAATCATTTAGGACCAAAATCTACTTTAAACAAAATATATTTTGGGGAGTGAAATGTGAAGAGTGGGTGGTGCCAAATTCTGTGCTGTAATATATTTTAGTTAAGATCTCAAGGTGAACTTGTGCAGTAATCCTGGTTATGGAAACATAATATTTGTATTTGCATACCAACCTCCTGTAACCCTCTGAAATGTACAGTTGCATGAACTGACCTCTTGTTAGGTCATCTATATGCTGCAAAATCAAAAATAGACATCCAAGTGTTACTATAGACAACACTTTATAATACAGGGCTCATAATTGTTTGTATAGTTTCTGTTCAATAGCTACAATATTAGCATGTTAGATAAAATCTAAAAGAAACACCTGCAGCTTTAGCTCCACAAATCTTTGCATATAAATACTATGAACTATTTTATTTTATTAAAAGGTCAATATTTTATGATTCACTTCATAAGTCCATCTGTATACATTATGAATATGATACACCAGTTGAGAATATGTAGGTAGGTAAATTTTAATAAATAAATGAGCAACTGCATTACATTTACATTTTGATGACTCTTTAAATACATTTTCTACATGAAAAGATTAGACAAATTAGACTGTGCTTACATTTGTACAAAGCAAGCAACTGGAAAGAAATAAAACATGAACAAGAATGAATTAAGAAGCAAGATGACTGTGAATAAGCCAGACCACATCATATTTTAGTTGATGTAACATGACAAATGGACTATGGTACATTTTGAGTGTTCCCAAAAGCTACCAGTCTAGGGTCTAATCCTGACAGGTGGTGAGTGCCCAAAATTCCCACTGCCTTTGTGGATGTCATGTGGAGTTACATGTGCTAAGCACTTCTTAGAATTATACCCAGTGCCATCTGGAATTGAGGGCTCTCAGCACCTTATAAGAGGTAATTAGTACCATCCAGGATCAAGCTTTTAAGGAGCCAGTGGGGCTATCTGTGAGGTCCCAGAGTTCACAGGATCAGGCTTTTAGAATCTGATAATACAAAGTGTTGATCACCCTCCGAGGTGCTAGACATCTTCCACTCCCATTGAAATCAATCGAAGCTTAAGGCCCTCAAGATCTCTCAGGAGGTATCAGCACCTTACAATGTCAGGCCCTTACACCCCTGCACCTGCATGCAGTTTACTACTAAGGCCCCCCCGATCTTGCAAGTATGTTTGAGAGAGCTCTCCTTGCCAAATTTTAACTTGCTGCTTTCAGGGCATTGGGCTTAGCACACACTAACAATACCACAATAAAGTCATGAAAGAAACCACACTAACAACCACTTTGCAGAAATGTCAATTATTTACTTCCTTAAATTTAATTTTCAGTATAATAAAAATAGCTGAACACATTTTAAGAGGTCAAAGTACTGTATCCATACCAAAAAGTGGATATGTAGTGTGGACTTGACCTGTAAGCTGTTTCATAATAAATATCTATAAGCACATTTTAAAATACAAATTATAAAACAAATTTGAATTTATAAAAGGCTTGCAGCATTGTCTTTCAGAAAAATAGCTTCACTAATTCTCTAGGATTAACTGCAGTCAATTTGTCCATCTGAAATTCTCACTTTTACAAAACCCTCTTGTTCAGTCCAGCACACTTACTCTAAGTATTCCTCGTTAAAAATCCCCATGTATCAGTTCTTAACATTAGTTCCTCTTTTTTTCCCTAATAACAGTTGAGCTTGAGCTCAGTTCACCAAAACTGGCTTATGCACATGCCACGTTTAGGTTGTAGATTTGATCAGTTCACAATAAAAACAGAAAGTGTCACTCATCACTTAGGTCAACTACCATGAAGAATCTTAGTATCACAGGCAGAGCAGTGGCAATTCCTAGATTTAACGTTTACATATGTATGTCCTAGATAGAAAGAAGTACGTTCCCTTTGGTTACAGAAAAGCCTTCCACATGTTGCCCTGTGAAATGTGCATTGCAGCTTATTAATTAACATGAAGAGAACGAGGTAACTGGCCATATGTGATTAATGTTATTTAATGGGAATTAGCAGAAGCATGTTGCACAAGTTCTCTAAGGCTATTAATATTGAACTGTACTATACACAGCAGCATAGTACAGAAGTGTTGGCATATTATTGCTTTTACAGAGCCAGCTCCTGAGAGAAATTCATGCTCATGAAGCCTTAGGCAGGGTAGAGTGGAGCACAGAAGCCATGCAAGGTGATTCTGCTTCCCCTTTGTGCATGGAGATCTCCCAAACTGGTCTCCACAGTTCTCCATGGAGAGGGTAGGGATTGTGGTTTAGACTCAGTGTAGCCAACGCAGCCATGTTCTAAGATGCTGTATAGAGCAAGAGAGGGGAGAAATGAACTGTGCCAACTGTTCTTCACAATGGCCAGCATTGGCCATCTTGGGCAGTTAGGGCTGATGCCATTTCTCAGTCCCATGCCCTTTTCTATGGGTTTTGGTCTGATCTCAGGATTAAGCCTTAAGGCATTAAGGGCCAAGTTCTGAAATCAATGGGATTACTCATATGAATAAAGGCCGTCCCACAAATAAACATTACAGAATCAGGCCAGATATTAGCACCTTCAATAAAACACCAAAATAGCATGATGCAAGAGCTGTCATTCACATGAACAGCTTATTAGATACAATATAAAAATGTCAAAGAATTTAATGCTGGAATATATTCCTAACCTTTCATAATAAAGAGGTTCTCAATAAGTTAAAACATTTGTGAATACTGCAGTGAAGATTACAAAGATGGACAAATGTGCCAAATTCAGGTTGGAAACAGAGGGCACCCTAAGAAATTCACACTTGTTTTTAATGCCAATTGTATATAGCATGGAGTAAGTTAGTTCACTATTTCATTATGTTATAAATATGATGCTATGCACACAGACTGAAATACTGGCCTGACTGAAGTCAATGGGGGTTTCAATCTTTGACTTCAGTGGGGCCAGGATTTCACTCACAGTTCTTACTTGCTAACAGAAGATATCAATTTAAAATATATTAATTAGAGCGGAGTGAAAAATTCAGTGAAAGATTTAAAGAGAGAGAGAGAGAGAGAGAGATTCAATGTAATTTTCACAGGGAGCTTGTCATCTCACTGGTCTGGCCTTCAGTAACACAGACCTAAAGAGTTATTTTCAGCATGAGGCTGCAGTTTATTGATGTGCAGTTTAACAAGATTCTACTTCAATTGTAAACCACCTTTACGTTTTTTCTTGTTCATGTATTACTATTCAGGACTAGTACATTGCTACTTTGTGCAAGCCAAAAACCAGAATGGTAATGAATGGTGTTGTATTAAGTCATGTTGCATGTATAAAAGGATATCAAAATGCTTACAGCAATTCTTTGCATCTTGTATGACAATATGTTCAACCCACACGCAATACAACCCCGCTCCTCCCCCGGACGAACAACACTGTATTGGAGCTCAGCCCTTCAACTCGTAATCAAAGGACAAACTCATTTGAGTTAGAGTTGCAGGATCAGGCCCTTGGAATAGTCAATTAATTTCAAATAGATCAATAGTCATAGTCTTAAGTAAGTTCAAACCCCCAGTAAAAGGATATTACACTTTGGCACTGAACACAACCCAATCACATTAATTAATTCAAATTCCATGAGAGCCTTCTGCCTGCTCATTGAGAAATAGGTGCTCAGAAGCTGCCCGGGTGTTTCATATGGAACAGAGTGCAAGTTGAATTAAGTTTATCAGAACAATTAATATTTGAAGCACTTTTTATGCAAAAGACACTTAACAAATAAAACTTTTAGTCTAAACATGTAGCATGTATAAGTATTTTGTGCCTCAAGACTGTAAATGTGATATATATTTTAATACATTAAATCATTTCAGCTGCATAAAAATGTATTTTAATAAGTTAACGTAGCACCTTGGATCAATACGCTGTTTTAAAAATAGATCAAAAATATTCAGTTTTCAAATTGTCAGAAAAACCATTATTCCATCTCAAGCCTTCTATACACCAATAACTGAAAAGGAAGCTAGTTTACACGTAATGTTGAGATGTGTAAATATGGGAAGTCTAAGACATAAAATTGCAACTTAAGGATATAACAAAGACTTGTTAGTCACATCAGGAAACATTTCCAACTCTTTTTAAAAGTCACAGTATATAATCATTAGAAGTTAGAATCGAAACCACCTTTCAGGTTATCTAGACCCATCCACTGTCAAAGCAAGACTGTTTCCTACAATATGTTTTCTAGTATTCCAAAAAGTTGGGCTTTACATGTCCCAGGAAAAGGAGCTGCCATCATGGGCCTTGGAATATTATTCAGCAACTTAGTAGAGCTCATGGTCAGGATCTTTTTCCTAGTATTCATTTTATATTTTCCATTTCTTAATTTCCCCTGACTCCTAATTACAACTCCTAGTACTTAATAATTCCTTTTCCTTCTCAATATTTTCCCCGTAACCACGCTGTACATATTTAATGTTTTAAAGTCAATCTTTCCTACCTCTTACTCATGTCCATTCATTATTTTTATTGCTGTTTTTTGAACTTTCTAGTTTGCCTAAAAATTTCTGCTTTTGAGGTACCCAGAACTTTACATGCTATTTCAGATGTGGACTCAGGCGAATCCCCTAACGAGGGACAATCACATCTCCCTGCTTCACGACATGAAACTTCAGCATATGCAACCCCAAATTGCACTGATCTTTTTTGCTACCACATCGTATTGCAAATGAACATTTAATCTGTGGTCCACTCTCACTTCAGGTCTCTTCCAACTTTATGGCTTTAAATTTCTGCCCATATTTCTAACCTCTGTAAGACCCATTATATAACTCATCTCTCCATGCTGGTGTTTATAACATCTTTAGCATTATCTGTGATTTTCATTAACATGTTCCTCTTCTAGATTATTAAAGATGTTAAATAGGACCAGATCCAAAACTGTTCCTTGATTACATTATAAAGAGGATGAAACAATTAACTGAAGGAGCAATTAAAAGTGCATAGCTGGCTGATTCAAAATACAATTACATGTCAAGACAGTATTTTAAAGTATTTTTAAATCTTCCATTTTTATCCCATTTGATTAATTGTAAGAAATAAAATACTTTGCCATAGCTGCAGTTTCCACATGTACTTCTGTATTTACTCCTCACCGCCACCCCTCATGTTCCCTAACTCTAGAATACAGAATAAACTGGTAATCAATTCACCAGGACAAAATAAACCTGGGCCACATCATCAGCTATAGCTAGGCATCAAGTAGTAGCAAACTGAAGTACACTACTCTAAATCTGCATGGAGAATCTAGAGTTCAACTCTTTTACAAGCTTATTCTATGATGCTAAGATATGATCCTGCAAGTAAAAGGCTTCAGCTCTTCCAGGCCTTGATCCTGAACCTGAATCTGCTAGCATGGACCACTTCCCCCATGCTGAGTCTCTGGCCTAATGAAGGGTCCAATTCTATTACACTTACTAATGCTTAATTGGACTCTAAAAGTTTCAAAAGGGTAATTGTGAAGGAAGATACTACTTAATGTGAGTAAGGGCTGCAGAGTCAGACCCTAAGTAATTATAACCCTAGCTTTAGTTTAGTTTACTTTTAATGGCGTGTTCTCATAAGGTTCAAGAGACACTAAACTCTCAGTTCTGAATATTGACAAAGATTAATATTTTCAAAATAATAAGAAAGGACAAAATTTAAGCCACCTGTCCTATGAAAAAAATCTAATTTATGAAGTATCTATTTTTCAGAATACTGTACTAACTTCCAATATTGCTCATCAACTCTGTTTTTTTTCTTAATGACCACTAGAAGTTTTGTAATAGAAAGCAATTTGGCAAGCTATTCAATCTCCTGCCTCTATTTGTTAATTTATATAAAAAAATTGGGAAGAAAATAGTTTGTCTGAGGAAACAACCAATCAATGAAATAAAAGAATCAAAAGTGAAGCCAAGGATGAAATGCAAAGTCTGAAGACATACTGAATTTACAAAACAATACAATCCATGTTATTTCATGCACAGCCATTTATTCTTGTTCCATGATTTAAAACTTGGACTCATAAGGATCACATGAAGTGTTTTGTTTCCATTTCTTATTGTTCTGTAAAAAGCACCATGGTTACAAGAGTTGGATTAATCGTCCTTTTCTACAATCACTTCTCCATGAAGCACCTTTCTTCTCTGCCACAGCATATGAAAGTAGAGTTGTGGAAACACTTGATCAAAGAATAAATGAACAAATTAGAGGAAAAAAGGAAAAATACATTTCTAACTGTACACTATTCAGCTGAGGAAAAATTATGGTGATGGAGCAAGTAACACTGGGTTGCTTACAATGGCAAACTATGACTTAAACACTGATGGATCAGTTCACACCACCAAAATCCATGTAGGGATCTGTGCATGCATGTAGGGGTCAATGACTTCTCAGCAACCTCCATGGCTCTGTGGACTCTTCCATGTGGCCCAGGATCTATGCTGAGGGAGGTTTGAATGGGTCAGGACTGGGAGGAGGATGCCAACTTATCTCCCTCTAGTCCTACAGGAAATTGTTGTAATATCCTACCCACTTCACCTCCCCCCATCTCCCACAGGGCTTTCTGGGGTGCTCATCAATGTGGTGTCTGATAAATTCATTAATACCTGTGAAGTTATCTTTACAACACCCCGTCAGGCAAAGTGGTATTATTATCCCCACTTCACAGATGGGAACAAAGAGACTCACCACAGAGAGGTTAAGGCCAAAAGTGTCCACTAATTTTGGGTACCCAATTTGAGATGCCTAGGGCCTGAACATTCTTTTTAGAGCACTTTACAAGTTCAGCTAGTGGCTGAAAGCCCAAGCTATCACATGGGTGGAATCTGTAAAGTTGTGCATGTAAAAACGCTGAAAATGTCTGAGACCATAAAAATTGGATGACACAATGAATCCCAATAATGACTGAACCTGGAGATATTCTGAACAAAAAGAACTAACAGCCAAGCTTGTGGCTGTTTCCATGATTCCACTGACTCAACAGACATTCTAGGCTTCAAAGTGACACACAGACAGAGTGACAGTGTTGAAATCTTATTATATAGATGCACAGCTTTAACTGAATTCAGTTACAGCTATATGTGCTCAACACCTATGCATATCAGGCCATAGGTGACTCAGGTAGGGCACCCAGGAAATGAGGAACACATAATTCCATTTTACTGACTTGCCCAGCATCACATAAGAACTCTGTGACGTAGGCAGGGATAGAATCCAATTCTCTAGGGCAGCATTCAACTGCTTTAAGCACAAGACCATTCCTTCTCTTCCTGCAATCCCCTGCCTCCTTCACTGCACACCTTCCAACTTCTGCAACAAATGAGGCAGGGTCATAGAGATAACCATCTTGTTCACTACATACCCCTGATTCATACCCAGAACACAGTCCATCCTGTGCACTGAATAAAACGGGGGTTCTGTGGGAAAAAAGTCATATGTAATTAAAAACTATGGGTACAATTTTCAAAATAATCTAAATGATTTAGGACCCTTAGTCCCATTTTCAAAAGGGACATAGGTACTTAGGAGTCTAAGTCCCCCTGACTTTCAAGGAGACTTAGGAGCCTAAGTCACTCAGGGATTTTTGAAATTTTTACCCTGTATCATAATACATATGCACCAAGGTGCCTGACTTTGCCATCTTAATGTTATTTTAATCGTAGAACTGTAGAGTTAAAGGGAGATCAAGAGGTCATCTAGTCCAGCCCCCATACTGAGGCAGGATTAAGATGATGTTTCTTTGGGTGTTCCTAGATGTAGTTTCTTTGGGTGTAACTTCCTAATTTTAAACAAAGTAAACTGAAAAAACAGAAATTCCTTCGTGCGGCACCATACTGACCCCTTCATGGGTCATCAGCAGGCTTGAAATCTTAAGCTTCACAGCACAGACCTCAGCCACTTAAGCTAATGCCGCAACAAACAGCAGTAGCAAGCTGTTATCACTGTGGGCCAGACACTAAAAAGGGATGAGACACATAGGAATGTAGCAATTACCACTGTGACTCAGACCCACTGTCTATCTTGTCCAGTGGCCAATACCAGATGCTTCATAGACAGTTGTAAAAAATCACACACTATGTGGATGTGGGATAAAGTGTCATTCACATTAGATCTCATCCTGACCTTTAATAGTTAAACACTGACTTAACCCTTGAAACATAAGGTTTATTTTTGGTAGGTTTCAGAGTAGCAGCCATGTTAGTCTGTATCCGCAAAAAGAAAAGGAGGACTTGTGGCACCTTAGAGACTAACAAATTTATTTGAGCATAAACTTTCATGAGCTTATGATGATGAAGTGAGCTGTAGCTCACGAACGCTTATGCTCAAATAAATTTGTTAGTCTCTAAGGTGCCACAAGTCCTCCTTTTCTTTTTGAAGATTTATTTTTTGTTATAATGAATTATAAAATTTATAAAAGTTCATAATGTCTGTTATAATTAATTATAACTCTGGATAGTCTCTTTATCCATATTAATACGTAATCCCTTTTTGAATCTTGCTAAATTGTTGGCCTCAACAACAAAGAGTTGAGGGGGCAAAGAGTTCCACAGTTTAATTACACATTGTGTGAAAGAGTATTATCAGTTTTGAATTTCCCACCTTTTGATTTCACTGAATGTTCCCTTGATCTTCTGTTATGGGCCAGGGAGAAGACAAACTCCCAGTCTCCCTTCTCTATACCATTTGTTATTTTAGATATTTTTATCATGTCCCCTCTTATCTGTCTCCTTACTAAGGTAAACAATCCAAGTCTTCAATCTAAATCTCTCTTCATATGAGTTTGCCTCTCACCCTGTGACTACATAGCTTCCTAATAGTCTCTTGTGTGGAACCTTGTCAAAGGCCTTTTGGAACTTGAAACACGTTATGTCAACCACTGCTCCTTTATTCACTAGTTTACTGACACATTCAAAGAATTCTAAGAGATTAGTGAGACATGATTTCATTTTACAGAATGCATACTGATTAGAGCCTATCAATCATGATATTCCAGGTGCTTTGTTATTATCAGTTCAACCAATTTGTCAGGTACAGTTGTAGGGCTTACTGATCTAAAATTCACAGTTTGCCAGTGGGTTTCCAATATATTTGCAGAACAGTAGAGAAATACTGAGAACCAGGAAGCTAAGGGTCTAGTTCAAATTGTGTAAGGCACTGTGTTCTAGTGGTCACAGATCCTTCTGCCCCTGTCATCCTCAACATCCCTCCTTCTGCCCTATCCCCTTGCATAATCCTTCCCAACCTGTCCCCGTCTGTCTCTGTCCTCCCTGCATCTGTCCTATTCTGCTCCTATCCAAGCCTCCACTCCCAGCTTGCCTTTGTCTCTTCTCTATTCAACTCTGCCCACCCCCAGCCTGTCCCTGTCTCACCTGTTTCTATCCCCCCTGGTCTGTAGACCCCAGCATGCCTCTATCCCTCCCCAGTCTGCCACACCTGTGCCCATGCTGCTCCTCATTTCTCTGCATTTGAGTGAGACAACTTCTCAGTTCTGTCTTGGTGCCAGCATAGGGAGTACTGAGAATACAGGAGAGACAGTCTCTCTGCTGTCAGTTCATGTGTCTAATTCAATAGCGGCTCCCAGGAGGGAGCAATTGCAGGAAAAATCCTGCTTCCCCTGGTCTGAAGCATGCTCAGTGAACTCTCTGGGGGTGCAGCATGTTCAATGTTGTTGGAACAAAGTTCTGTAGGAGTGGAGCGCAGCATGCTCAGTGCAGATGGAATTTTTAGAGAATTTTGCTGCTAGCCTCTAACAAACCTTTACCGAGTATGTGCAAACCATGATTTTCAGAGGCTAATTTTAGATGGATTTTCATGGGGATTGCAAAATGCTCATCCCTGACACCAACAGGGGTCCAAATTTCAAGTTCTTTCTCCAAACAGTGGAGGGGCTTGAGCTTCTCAACAAAATGGTAGTAGGATTCTTTTAACATAAACAACAAATCTTATTTTTCCCTAATCTTGTTCTAGGAAATGGCTAAACCATTTTCACTGAAGCTTTCCAAATATATTCAGCCTGAGGCAGACACTCAGCATGTAAAATTTCTGCCTAAGCAGTTCAAGTGTGGCAAAATTTTAACTAACTAGGTCCTATAAAGTATTAGGCAAAGGTAACTACAGGCATTACTGCAAGCTCTGCCTATAATTCAGGGATTCTCAAACTTCACTGCACTGCAACCCCCTACTGACAACAAAAATTACTACATGACCCCAGGAAGGGGGATTGAAGCCTGAGCCCACCGGAGCCCTGCCGCCCAGGGCTGAAGCCGAAGTCAAAGCCCCACTCCCCAGAGCTGAAGCCTTTGGACTTTGGCCCTAGGCGGCAGGGCTCGGGCTTTGGCCCCAGCAAGTCTAACCACCAGCCCTAGCGACCCCATTAAAATGGGATCCTGACCCACAGTTTGAGAACGGCTGCATAATTTATTATTGTGTTGTTGGTATTATTAAAGTATAATAGTACTTACATGGTATATATGAGGCCATGACAATAATAAGGAAGTAGTAGTAGTCAAAAGAGACATTATACTTGTTGGGAAGTCTCAGTGAAAAGATGCCTGTCTTCTTCACATAAGGTAATGCAGCATAAATCGTTAGAAGTTCACCAGCAACTCCAGCAGGATACAAGATGATAAAAAAGTTGTATCTGAAGAAAAATAAATCTAAGAATTATTTTCTTGAAAGATAAATTCATGTTGTAACATTTCTTGTTTTGATGATTAGTGGCACAGCAATGAACTACAGTAGTTTCCTGCAAGAGAAAACCAAGGGCCAGACCCTGAGCTGGTATAAATGAGCACAACTTCACTGACTTTAATAGAGTTATGTTGATTTATACTAGATGAGGATCTGGCCCTAATCCCTTACATTTAGTTTGCAGTAATATCAAAATGTTTTAATGTTTTTCCAATGTTAAAGATAAAGATTCGAAGTTTGGAAAACTGTTGTATCGTCTAGTAATCTTGTTTTGGTTGATTTAGAGCCTGATCCTGGTGCCATTGATTGGTCTGGGAGCAGGCCTGGACCAATAATAAGTAGGAATACATATCTTCATCACAGCCCATGCACACTGGTCCAAGTGCATCCCTTCCCCATTGTAATTCTATTGAAGTTAATGGAATCTTAAGATACCTAGGAAGCTTGTTCCTCCCATTGTCATATGGGGAAGCTAACAATGGACTGCATCTGCCACTTACATGAATGGGAATTACTGATGCAAAAGCATCTGTGTGTGAGACCAGATATCTCAATGAACCCATTTTAGAACAAATAGACCAACTTTCAAATAAATGATAAAGCAAAGGCACTGAAAGAAGCCAACTACTTTGAATACCATATGCTACATACATGGTGGAAAAGTAAGAAACTGAAATCAGCAATGTTTTGAAAAATTCTCATGCAAGGTAAGACATACAGATGCAATCATTCACAAAGAACTGTTCTCTTGAGTTCAGGCTGGAGAAAGCAATGACAGCTGCCTCACAGGGTCTGAAATAAATGTATAATATGCATTCTATGACCAAACCAGATGAGTTTTAAAATGGCAGCAACTGAATATGAAACTCCCTAGTAATCGATGGGCTTAGCAAGCTCGTACATCAAACAGAACAGATTAGGTGAGACGTAACAAGAAACTGATGGCATAACTCCAAATACACCTTGGCCATATGCAGAACAGAAACAAACCAAAAATGGGGTATTCTGAATTAAAATGTAGGTGTATTTATTCTATTTAATAGGGAAAGACAAAGCTTTTATCATTCAAAATAAAAAGCTAGTGATCCCAAAGCATTAAACAGAAGTTTACTATGGTTTGCACATGTGTATTGATATATAGCTATATATACAAAAAAGGACAAAACTCATCAAAGCAGGGGAAGAGGTGGGTGGGTCGGGGGGAAGAGAAGAGAAGACACAACTCAGATAAGCCAATGGATTTGTGCCCATTTGTGCTAGCTATAAATTTCCCCTGATTCCTGATGTCAGCCCTTGGTAAGATATGTGACAGAAGAACTCATTTTCAAATGTTTGTTTTCCAGTATATTTCACACACATATAAGGCTCTTTTGTCAGAATGACTATTTTTCCTACTGCCTTATTATATTTTGAATGGAAAAAACCCTCTAACTTGGAAGCATTGGGAGTATCTGATAGGTTGATATTTTTCAAATGTGTTTTTAAATTTAAAGCCTAAATGTATATTCAATTAAAGACAGGGGATCTTTAACTGTTTATTTTTTTAAGTCTGCCATTTAGTCTTAAACATGCCAAAACCTACCACATACTGTACAAGCAGAAAGACAATGTATTATAAGAATGGATATAAATATCAGCCATATCAAAGAAGTGCATTAGAAGCATCAGAACTGTGTTGTCTACAAAACAAACAAAAATATATTTTTGGATAAATATGGACAAATCATCTACAATGAATTTTTAAAAAGACTTATCTGCTTCATAAAAAGCAAAGTCTGTTCTGGATATATATTTATTGTTCATTCAATAATTACAGAGGATGCAATTCATCCAGTTAAGCTTCATGGTAAATACCCAGCCTAAACACAATCAGTAATGTATTTCACATTCAGTAACATACTCAAGTATTGACATCTCAAGTCAAGGTTACGTCTATAAAAAAGATGCCCTTGTTGTTTGGACTAAGCTAGTTAAAATATTAACGAAGGTTTTGTAAAACCTCTAATTAAATCATAAATTCAATACAGAATAAGGGACAAAGCCTATAAGGTGATGAGAGCCCAAAGCTCCCAGCAACTTCACAGGACTGAGTGGCCATTCTGGCCCCCGTCCTGCAAAGACTTATGTATGTGCTCAGCTTTATGAACTTGGAATAGTCCCATCACAGTTATCACTCACAGTGTCTATGGGTAAGTCCTTGTAGAATCTGGGCCTACGTTTGTAAACACCTAGATTTCTGGCAACAAAAGGTTTTGTTTTTCTTTATTGCATAGTGTAAGAGGATACATGGTATGATCATTTTTAAAAAAAAGATAATTTAGTACATTTTAAATTGTATTCAAAATGCAACTTAAATTTCTAAAAGTTAAAAGGTAATCCTGCAAGCATAAAACAAAAGGATGACTAGTAAATGAAAATAACTATCAAACAAAGAAATTAAAAAACAAATCACATCCAAATATCTGAGCTAAAATATTCTTTACATTTTAAACCAAATGGCAATATTCCTAAATACACAAGGCAACCAACCGCATTCTTCTGACACAAAGCCAAAGCTCACACATCTGTTCTCCTGTGTGTTAGCTCAGCATGCATGAAATTAGCATGCACAGAACTATGAGAAACTAAACTGCAAGACATCTCCACCTGGCCCATTTAATGAAGTATGGCAAATGGTTGAGCAGGTTGAATGTGTAGAAGGAATATCGTGTAATCTCTGTCACAGTCCAAACGACCAGAAAAAGAATAACGCTCTCCTCATTCTGGATCTGTGAAAGTATAAAGAACCAACATTTTCTTCACCCTTAAACTTCTTTTCTATGCAAGCGGCAACAGACTTCCACTTAAGACATTTGGAATAGAACTAAGAATTTGAGAAGAAGGAAAACTGGGGTATCAAAAATCAGCACCTGTAGTCACCATCATGTTAACTTTTCTATTACAGGTATTGACCAACATACTGAAATTTTGCTAACTGTGCAGTACAAAGTGACTGTAACCATTGTAAATACATCAAAACACTGAACTATTTCGTTGATTTAATTCCTTCTTTTGCTTACCCTGCATCTGCCCTTTCAATTTGCTCTATTTCTTCTGATTTTTGGTCTAGTTGCTTGTGTTTATCCTCTCCCTTTCTTTTTCTCAAAATACTATGTATAATATTTCTCTTCCATTTTAGAGTGGACAAACATCACATCACACTACTCTTCGTCTTGTCTGTCTTCTTATGTTCACCTAGCCCATGTCTGTTGTTGCTTTCCCCACTCCTGCTTATTAATGTCTTCGCAATACACAAGATAATTCCATTTTGTTCAGTGTACTCCATGGGCTACAAAGTGAAACCTGACAGCAGAAGATCAGGTTGGCGTGCTCAGGAGTTTGCAGGACAGTTAGGCAGTTGGGAGAGGGTCGATCACTGAAGGAGGAGGAGTGAGAGGATCAAGAGCTGTAGGTGAATATACTCATCTGCAGTGTTTTAAAGATTCAAGTTCTGAGTAGTTAAACTGCCTCCTCAGTAGGTAGCATATCTACCTGCTGCTTCAAATATCAGATCCTTTGGGGAGGGGAATCCCCAACTGTGCAAAGATGATGGTTGGGGGTCTTTTACAAATAAAACCTTCTGAGAAGGAGAATTACACACAAGTGATTTAATTATTTTCTTTAAAAGGGGAGGAATTTGGTAATAGGCTTCTGTGCCTGAAGGCTGAAAACCTCCTGGGATTTCTAGAAAATAAAATACAGAGACATTTTTTGTTCCAAACACAGAAAAGAGAAACACTGTTTTTCAACAAAATGCAACCTAGTGACAAAGCTTTAATGCTTTTCAAAGATTCTGAACACTCACAGCTAGGAGATGCAGATGCTCAGCACCTCTGAAAATTAGGCCCAATATGTGTAAATTGGAAACAAGATTTAACTTTTATTTAAAAAAAATAAGAGGGTTAGGACAAATCTCAATAACAAAAGCAAAAAAACAAACAAACTGAAATACAAAGATATTCAAATATAGGTAAGGGAGAAGAAGAGAATTAGGCTACTCTCCACCTGAAGTAGATAAGAGGCTAACACAGACAGGCTAAACCTGTATTTGGGTCACAATGCTTAATGCAAGCAATAGTTCTTTGAATAAGTATGTAGAGAATTCCATGTGGTTGCCTCGCAAATCTCCTGGACAAGTAGTGAGGCTGGCTATCATCAATAACAGGCCTATAACTACATATCCCAGAGGTAGGCAAACTACGGTTCGCGGGCCACATCCAGCCCACGGGACCGTCCTGCCTGGCCCCTGAGCTCCCGGCCAGGTTAGCCTCCGGCCCTTCCCCCCCGACCCTCCTCCCATGCAGCTGTGCGGCTTGTGCCCACCCACCTCCCAGGCTTTCCAATAAGCCTGTCCTGCTGCTCTGAGCAGCATGGTAAAGGGGCGGGGGAATTGGATAAGGGGCAGGAAGTCCCGGGGGGTAGTCAGGCGGCGGTTGGATGGGGCGGAGGTTCGGGGGGCAGGGGGGAAGGTCAGAAGACAGGGAGCAGCGGGGGTTGGATGGGGGGTGAGGTCTCGGGGGGGGCAGGGAGCAGGGGGGGCTGGATAGGGGGTGGGATCCTGTGGGGGCAGTTAGGGACTGGGGTCCCGGGAGGGGGCGATCAGGGGACAAGGAGTGGGGTGGGGGGTTGGATGGGTCAGGGTGCCTGTCAGGGGTCGGGGGTGTGGATAGGAGTCGGGGCAGTCAGGGGACAGGGAGGGTTGCATAGGGGGTGGGGTCCTGGGGGGGCGGTTAGGGGCGGAGGGTCCAAGGAGGAGGCGGTCAGGGACAAGGAGTGGGGGGGGGGGGGTTGGATGGGTTGGAGGTTCTGAGGTGGGCGGGAAGTGGGAGGGGGCGGATAGGGAGCGGGGGACCAGGCTGTTTGCAGAAGCACAGCTTTCCCTACCCAGCCCTTGATACCATTTAGCAACCTCAACGTGGCCCTCGGGCCAAAAAGTTTGCCCAACCCTGACATATCGGATACCCTCACATGACCCTGAATGTTCAGGCATGCAAAGAAATAACAATGAGAAATGCATTCAGACAGACATTTAGACATGGGGATTTTTTGATGTAGTTTGTCCTACTATATTGAAATCAAGTGAAACAAAGAGCTGGGTGGACAAGGTTTAGTCCATTCCACATAAAGGTAGAATGATGACAATCAGTGATATATGCCCTCGCCTCGATCTACTCGTCCAATGTAACCAACAAATGGTTCACTTCTTGAACATTTTTTCTTTTCTTCTAAAAGCAAAACAAGAAGCAGTTACCTTAAAAAAATTTTAAGATAAACCTACTCGGTATTACAAAAAAGGGAGGCAAAGGAAACAAAGTGTATAAGAGAGCTCTCTTCTGTGAACAGATAAAAAGGGAATTGACAATGGAGGCAGTTTCTGCCTGGCTGTTATATCTCATCAGCAGTTAGGCATGTGCCACCTGCTGGTGAGAAAGTTTAAAGGCTCAGCATCTTGAGTTAAGAAAGTTCTAACCCAAGTCACACACAGAAGCACAGACCCAAAAGTTGGGATCCATTACTCGATATTTACCTTTAGAGAACAGGAATTTCAAGCCTTGCAAAGTAAATAAAATTCAGACGAACTAAACTATAAATCCTAGTCCATTCATTACAAGAATCATAAATTCCTTGCATCATTTTTCCTTGGGGTAACAAAACAGTAGAATCTACATTAAAATCTATAACCAACCACATAAATAACACTTTCAGGGGCAGTTTGGTAATTTTCATATGCTGGGAGGTTTTCTCTGTTTTTTTTTAATGATGGCCTATTACAGTGGCATGCTGTGAACCTATAATATTAATATAATATTAATTTAAAATTTTTGAGAAAGGATTTAATACAAACTACAAAGAAAACATCAATGTAAAATGTCACAACAGTGTTTATCCAGATACATTCAGTTTAAGAATGATTTCCATTTGTACATTCAACACATGCTAATTGAAGTTCTTTTTCAAAGTGGAATGGTTGACAGTATGGTACATTTGTTGATGAACAGAAGCTCTACCCCTTAATCTTGCTTAACAGACAGATCAAACCTGGCAGCAACCCAATATGTCTCAGTTGTCCCTCTCCAATGGCATTTACCAGCATCCTGTGTGTAAACAACTGTAAACTATAGCGGGGTGGGCAAACCCAGGGGCCGCATCCAGCCCTTCAGACGTTTTAATCTGGTCCTCGAGCTCCTGCCAGGGAGCAGGGTCTGCGGCTTGCCCCGCTCCAGTGCTCCAGCAGGGAAGCGAGGTTGGGGGCTTGCCCCGCTCCACGCGTGATGTGACTCCGTGCGGCTCCCAGAAGCAGCGGCATGTCCCCCCTCTGGCTCCTACATGTAGGGGCAGCCAGGGGACTCCGCATGCTGCCCCCGCAGTTCCAATTCACTGGGAACCACATAGGAAATGGAGCAGGGACATGCCTGCACTCCCGACCCCCTGCCCCAGCCCTGATCCCCCTCCTGCCTTCCGAACCCCTCAGTCCCAGCCCAGAGCACCCTCCTGCACCCCCAACCCCTCATCCCCACCCCAGAGCCTGCACCCCCAGCCGGAGCCCCCCCACACACACCCGCACCCCAACCCCCTGCCCCAGCCCGGAGCCCCTTCCCACACCCTGAACTCTTCATTTCTGGCCCCACCCCAGAGCCCGCACCCCCAGCCCCTCCCGCACCCCAACCCCCAATTTTGTAAGCATTCATGGCCCCACACACAATTTCCATACCCAGATGTGGCCCTTGGGCTAAAAAGTTTGCCCATCCATGAACTATAGGCTTGAACCTGTAAGTTCTCTACCTGTAGAACTTTGACTGAAGTTTGTAAGAGCCCCCTGTATGGAGCATTTGCCAGATCCTATTACTTGTTAAATAACACTTCCTGCTAAAATGAGCTTTTTATTAATAATCAGCCCTTCCTGTAAAGAGTAAAACAGAATTTGCTCATGCACCCACCTGTTTTATACTGTGTGTTATAAACCATACCATGAAGATTCTTGAACTCACTTGGACCCCAGTCACAAGCACAGAGGTGTGAACTATTCCTTAAAAAGAGAAATACATTATCTATGTCCCATAATTCCTGTTTGTAATCAGTTAAGTGAGAAATTAAAAGCAAAAGACTCACCAACTGCACAGTGGACTACCTGTCAATAAAAATAAGTATAAATTAAAAGTCACTGGTTTAAAATCATTTTACTGTTTGCAGTATAAACAAAGACATTGCTGCTGTTAACATAAATCTAAACTTACTCCTAGTCCTTTACTCCTTATTCAGACTACACTTTCATTGACTTTATCGGCAGCAAAAATTAAGATGTCAAGGCCAAATTCTGTGAGGTGCCAATTACCCTGAATTCCAAAGCTGCACTCCTCACAGAATCAGGCCCTTGGTTTGTAATACCACTGAATCAAAACTGACTTGCTTACCGAAGGAACTTTTACATAAGGCTGATTTTCATATACATACACACACCTTGCTCTTCAGCTTCAAAACCAAACCTCAGTTTCACATGCAACATCTTATCCAGATCAGAATTCTTCTGGAAAATTTAAAGCAAGATACATACGGTGTTTCAGATATACAAGGATTTTAAAATTTTTGTTGTTCATTTTAGAAGATTTTTATTAATTCTTTTTCAAATTAAATCCTTGACTAGTGTTGATGGGTTCAGGTAGAATTATTTAGAAGTGTAAAGGTATTATTATCATATAAAAACCAAAACACAGATGACCATACATGTTAAAAGAGGCACATGTATTATATACATACATCTGCTTGATGAATGTATTATATATCAATATCAGTCTGATGCATGCTTTGCCAAGTGCACTCAGCCTCCAGAGTGCTTTGCAAATGTGGAAAGTCATAGTTCAATGAAAGACTAGTAGCAAACCATATGGGGCATGTGGGTCCAGTCTGGAAAGAGCAAAAGAGAGAAAGCCATATGGGGGATAATGAATCGAGTATGGGGAATGAGAAGGAAGCAATCATCTGTGGAGGAGGGCAGGGTGTCTGCAAAGGAATAGGCTCCATAAGGAATGGAGTCCCTGTTTGGCTTGCAAGATCTGTCTCTGAGCAATTCTTAAGCATTTTTGAAATGCAAAAAAATCATAAGCAAATAATTTAGTAGCCTAGAGTTAATGTTACAATAGATATCCATTCCCTTCAACCAACCTCCTCTCTCCCCCAGAAAAACACCTTAAAAATAAATGAAGTTAGAAAGACTGGAAATTCTGAGATATTCTTTCATCCTTAACTCCATGTTAATGAAGTTTTGTTTTTTTCTGCTGAGGGTAAATATTTTCCAATCAAGCAATGTGTAGCATTTAAAAATTTACCTCAAGCACAGCAAATGTCTGGAAAAATTTAAGTGTCTTTTGAATAGTTTTGTATAAGCCTTTGTATGTTCCTTTCTGCATGTAAAACCGAGCCATGGCAATAGCCAATACCAGCCACCTAGAAAAGAAAGAGAATGGATAATTTTCAAATGAGAATTCTAAGAACACCCAGGTATCTAAATTATTCATTACATTACTTTCATCTCAAATATTTGACGGAGAATTTTGATTTTCTACTGATGTTGTTTAAAAAGAGATTGACAATATAATTTAAAATATAGCAAAATCCATTAACTATTTAGCTCCTGTACCCTACTTTGTGAAAAAGTATAGAGAGAATGCCTTGCTGCTCTTTGCAAAGAGCCCTCTTTGTTACATAGCTAAGGTGTTCTCTTTTCCATGGTATGGACCATATCTTTATTATTCAGAGAGTATTAATTCACATATTTTAGCTGTTTTTAACATGACTTAGCAGTTAAAAAATAAAAATGCCAACTTCAGGTGCCAGCCACTCTCAATATACCAGCAGTTGTCCCCTCTGCACAACTTGGTGTAATGGTTCTAGTATAGACTACAGTTCTTTTTCCAATATAATTTCAAATCCCAAATTGCTTTTCATAGTTTCATAGCATTAGGATATTGAAAAATGTACATGAAATTTAAAAAAATATTTGAATATATGTATTTTGTTTTCTTAAAACATATTGAAAAGTAAACACCGTGGCCAGCATTTCCAACCTTGGTCTCAATCATGCAAGGAGCTCTGTGTGAGGGGACCTCTGAGAGTGGGGTTCTACCCACACAAAGCTCTTTGAAGGACTAGCACATAGGGACTTAAGGCCAAGACTGGAAAAAGCAACTAGTGATTCTGAGTGCCTCAGTTTGTGGGTGTCCATTTTGAGACACCAATAAAGGGGTCCAATTTTCAGAAAGTGTTGTATACCCATCCTCAGAAAATCAGGCCAATTTAAAGTGTCTAAAGTTGGGCACTCAAAAATCCAGGCATCCAGAATCACTAGTCACTTTTGAAAATTTTGGCCAAAGTGGATAGTTCTGGAACTGACATGTTGGTAATCGTGTACTGATATTAAGTGTGGATTTTTTTTTAAATATGCATTCTGCTGTTATTCAAATGAAAGAAAGCAAAAATAACAGTTAGTCAAATTAAAGCTTTCTTCATTGAGATCAAACAAATCTGAGCTAAAATAAATTTTATAATCACCTAAGGCAGGGGTTGGCAACCTTTGGCGTGCAGCCCATCAGGGTAATCTGCTGGCGGGCCACGAGACGTTTTGTTTACGTTGACTGTCCACAGACATGGCCCCCTGCAGCTCCCATTGGCCACGGTTCGCTGTTCCCGGCCAATGGGAGCTGCGGGAAGCCTGCCGGGAATAGGGGCTGCAGTCCCTAAATATTGCTTACATTAAGTTTTGTGGCCACTTAGCAGGGGACTCAGTAGTGGCACAGAGCTAGCCCTTTTAGGAGACCTGCCTACCTGTGAGAGGCTCCTGTAAAGAAAAGCCAAGTCAGACACACCTGGAAGGAATTTTAAATCTCTAGGTGGCTAGCTGGTAGCTAATTAGCTAATGAGCCTGACAAAGGGTTACCAGAGATTAGCTGAGGTGGATCCTTGAGACAGGAAGCTTTTGAGGGCAGAAGAATTCACCAGAGCAAGGGACCTGGAAGGTCTGCTCAGAGGGGTAGGGAATTCCAAATAGTGGCACAAGGGCCAGCCTGTCAGAACTGTGTGCTTCCTAGAGAAGGGCTACTACAGACAGATCTCTGCACACCCTCCCTTGGCTCTAGGGAAGAATTCTTCCCAGTGAGTGTCAAGAGTGTCTGGAGAAGGGACCTGAATTGAGAGAAAACCCTGTTGGAGGAGAGTGGTAGACTCAGGTAGGAATTAATAAACCGAGACTGACTGTGTCTCCCAGATAAGATGCTGGGGTGAGGGTTGCTGGTATTTTTATTGGGTCTTTGGTTAATAAATTAGACCCTTCAGAAGGCCACGTAAAGCCTCAGTGACCTTATTGATGACATTAGGGGAAAGTGAGTCTGGGAGCACCTACAGCTCCACACTTGGCCAGAAGGGGACACTACTGGATAGGTACACCCTGTGACAATAGCCCTCTCACCTCCAAGCCTTTCTTTCAATATGTGAAACTCACATGCAACTGGGCTCCACCATACACTGCAAATGTGGATTCTCTCATCATGCCTATTCTACACCTGTTCCCCTGTGTGTAGTGTAACTACCAAGGTTCCATAATGCTGCAGCACAGGGTGAATTCCAATTCCTGTCCTAAGAATGAAACACAAGTGCCAGTTAAGCAACACCCACAGATATTATTTCAGCTTCTTATGGCTAGTGTAAAAATCTGAGTAAATTTTTGTAGAGTATAAAATTAGAGTGGATTCCAGCTACTGCTGAAATCAGTGGATTATTTTAACTTCAGCAATACATGTTGCCTTCACAATAAGGCTTTCCTGGGTTCTAAATGTTTTGTATTTTATAGTAAAGTGTGTGTCAAAGGAGAATTATAATGGATTTTTATATGGTTGGCAATATGGCAGGTGACAGCAGTACCTTTACATAAGAGGTACCCTGAGAAGCCATATTATATCTGACCAAAAAGGCAGTAAGTATAAACCAAAAAGGTTCCCTGAATCTCATTTTGCAACAAAAAGGGAACATGAAATGTCTTCTCTGACTTAACAAAAACCAAAAGTTGGTAGGTCTCTTGCTTAGAGAGGTTATTCTTTAAAAAAGTACTTCCACAGACCATTTTATTGGGTCTTCAGCTTGCAACTTTTTTTTTTATTGTGTCCCATATGGGCCTTTGTATTGCATACAGAAAAATGGCAACTTTCACTGAACATCAGACAAGCATTCAGTGTGAAACAGAAAATACCCTACACGATAAATTCCCCCGAGGGAGGCTTTCGGAGGCCCAAAGGACAGTTACGGGCCTAACTTCCATTGACTTTCAATGGGATTTGGACACTTACCTGCCATTTTTGCTTTTGAACATCACCTACGCATTTACCAGTATGTTTGTCTTTCTTTTTTCCTATCCCACACAAGAAACAAAGGGCCCACTTTTACAACTGCTGGTGGCTCTCAACTACCAGAGACTTTGACGGGATATGTGGGGCTTCAGCACTTGCAGGGATCACAACTAAAATAGATGGCAAAGAGTCCTGTGGCACCTTTTTGACTAACAGACATATTGGAGCATAAGCTTTCGTGGGGGATTACCCACTTCGTCAGTTGTATGTGTATTCACCCATGAAAGCTTATGCTCCAATACATCTGTTAGTCTATAAGGTGCCACAGGACTCTTTGCCGCTTTTACAGCTCCAGACTAACACAGCTACCCTTCTGATACTTAATTAAAATAAAGGTTTCTACCTTAAAAGTCTGTGGCAGGAGCCCAGTGCTCATGAGCAAATGAACAACAACAAAGCAAGGGGTGGACTGTTAAGAAATACAATGAGGAAACACAGCAATTCCAAACTAGCAAAGATTATGAACAACGAATAAAAACACTAATTAAAGCTGACACAAACATACCTTCATAAAGCCCCCATGCCTGACTTCAACAATTCCCTTTGTAAAACGTTCCAATGTCGAATTAAGTATTGAAGTATTGAACTAAGTATTGAAATTTGTGGGAGTTTGACAATTTTCAAAAAGAAAAGGAGGACTTGTGGCACCTTAGAGACTAACAATTTTATTTGAGCATAAGTCTTCTTGAGCTACAGCTCACTTCATCGGAAGTATTCAGTGGATGCATCCGATGAAGTGAGCTGTAGCTCATGAAAGTTTATGCTCAAATAAATTGGTTAGTCTCTAAGGTGCCACAAGTACTCCTTTTCTTTTGCAGATACAGACTAACACGGCTGCTACTCTGAAACCTGACAATTTTCAGTCATTCGACAGAAAATTAAGTCAGTTTAAGTATGTTATGAAAAATACTGCTATTAACATGATAAATCTTGAAAAGGAATGAAAATACATACATCAACCACTTAAATATAAGCCAGAATTCCCTTAGCCTTAAAACTTAATACCAATACTAGAATCCATTGTAACACTGGGCATCAGTTTAAATGCACTCCTGGGCTTATTAACAGTTCGACCCCAATGCATTCAAATTGGAATGGCCCCTACCAGTAGTTGAATTGAGGACAAAAACTGAAATGACATACTAAGCCAAATTCAACGTTGGTAAGTGGGTACAAATGCACTGAATTTTGTCTGCTTGTGTCAGGTCTGAATTTGGCCTGTAACCTCTGTTTTCAATACTGAGAGACTGATCTGTAGAGCAGCAGGTTGGGAGACCAAGATGGAGCTAGAAGAAGGAAACTAATGTCTTAAAATACTGTTTCAATATCAGTTAACTATTTATCAGTGATGCTGCTTAGTCTGAAGCCAAGATGGTTTTTCAATATAATAGTAAAAAGAAAAGGAGTACTCGTGGCACCTTAGAGGCTAACCAATTTATTTGAGCATAAGCTTTCTTGAGCTACAGCTCACTTCATCGGATGCATCCGATGAAGTGAGCTGTAGCTCAAGAAAGCTTATGCTCAAATAAATTGGTTAGCCTCTAAGGTGCCATAAGTCCTCCTTTTCTTTTTGCGAATACAGACTAACACGGCTGCTACTCAGAAATATAATAGTAGTAATCATTTCTTGCAGTTAATTCTTAACATGGCAGATGGAAGAAATTAATATACGTTGCCTGTCTCCGGAGTGCTCTCCAAAGCAAGAATTTGAACCAAAGCTATTTAGAAACTTTGGGCAGGCAGTACCACCTGGTGCTGCTGGGAGCCAGTGGGTCTCAAACTACTCTGAAAACTTTATTAAACCATTGATCCCGCCCTCGGCGTGGGAGGAAAACGAGGAATCCTGCTGTAACAACGCGCTTACAGCCACTTCGCAACCCCCCAGAAGCCTTCACTGGCAGCTTGAGACCGCAAGTCTGCCAAGGCTCCTCGGACAGGGCGGTGCCCGAGCTGGCAGTCAGCCTCAGCCCTGCTCAGAGCGGGGCCCGCGGCGCAGGGGAGCCGCCTGCAGCCAGCAGCTCCCGCTCCACGCGGAGCCGGCTCAGCGCGCGGGGGCGGCCGCGGTGCCTTACGCCAAGGGGAGCCCCCAGCCCCGGCAGCGCCGCCCGGCATTCCTGGCTCGGGCTATACTTAACCTCCCCGCCGGGCTGCGAGATGACGCGCTCGCGGCCGCACCGTATTAGGAAATGCCAGGCGGGCGAGGGCTCGCCCTGCAGGCAGCCGCCTCTGCCGCCCTCTGCTAGAGCAGAGCCGCCCCCCCGCCCCCGGTCGCAAGGCCTCCGCCTCTCAGCCCGGCTCCCGCCGCAGCCCGCTCCCCCTCGCCCCGCCGCGTCTGTCCGGCCCGCAGCGCGCCCCGGCACGCACCCGGCGGTCATGGCGATGTTGTAGCCGATGAGCCAAGCTGTGGCCAAGGCGCCCAGGCGCCTCTTCCTGCCCTTCTCCTTCTCCTCCAGCGAGCCGCCGCCGCCGGCCCCGTCCTCCTCGCTGGACGCCATGGTTTGCCCGAGGCCAGGGGGGAGACGCGCGGCGGAGGAGGGGCGCAGGCAGGGGCTGGGCTGAAGCCGCGCTGACAGCTGGAGCTGACTCTCGCTCACCCCATCTGTCTTCACGGCGGGCTGCTGCTGCTGCTGCCCCCGGCCAGCGGCTCACATGGTGTCGCCGGCTCCTCCTTTCTCCTCCAGCGGCTCCTCAGGTCACACGGTGCCCCCCTCCCCCAGCCCAGCTGGCCGGCAGCGTGGAGAGAGGCTAACGCCCCGACCCTAACGCGATTGCTGCGCCGCGCGGTTCCCAGTCTGGCTTCCCTGACTTGAGATCAAACGTTTTTACACCCCGCCCCCCTAAGTTGCCTCCACAAAATACACTCCCATGGCTAACCGTGTAGGTGTAACATATCCTTGTGTGCAACATGAGCGATTGGTAGGATAGCCAGGTGGGTACTTTATGCTCACACAGGCTGTCCCCCTGCTACGGGTCCTTACTTTTACAGGGATCACCTCTGTTGGACGTGCGTCACCTTGGCTATGTCTACACTGCATCGCAAATCCTGGTCTGTGAGACAGGTGTTTCCAACCCTTTGCTTGAGCATCCATGCTGCATTGTAAACCTGGCTTTACAATTGCTGGATCTGGGACTCACAGCTGTCCTAACATGACCACACTGTGCTATGCAGACCTTATGACTCAGCTCAGCAGCTTGAACTGCACCCACATTGCTAAATAACAGGGCTTGGATCCAAGTCTCTGGGACTTGGGCCCTGACCCACGCCCAGCAGGGTCCTAGGAACCTGGGGTCCTGAGTGCTTGGTGACCAGATTCAGACTGATTTGTGTGTGGATGGAATGGGGGCTTGGGCTCAAACCTGAGTGAGAGCCCAGCCTTAGTTTACAGTGTAGACATACCCCCTACTTGTATGCAAAGTTGCCCCTGCATCAGTGGTGCTAGTACTGGGGGTGTTGCTGCACCCTCCGGCTTGAAGTAGTAATAACAAATGCCAAATACATGATTTCCATCATCAGCACTCCCACCATAAAAATTGTACCAGCACCCCTGCCCTGCGTATACATTATGACATTCCCCAGGGGGAGGGTCCTACGTGAATCAGACAGGTTGGATACTGCACCCTGATTCCCCAACAATACAGACCTGATAGGCTGTGGTTCCCAGCCAATGGGAGCTGCGGAGCCAGTGCTTGTGGTGGGAGCAGCGTGCAGAGCCCCCCTGGCCTTTGCGAACTGAGCGCTGTTGCCTACCCACCCCCACACCCAGCACCAGCGACTGTCTCAGGCTGAGCATCAGCGCCCAGCCTCCTCCCCCCACCCGGCACCAGCAGGGGTCCTGGGCCGCGCGCTGCTGCCCGGGGACCCCCAGCACCAGCAGGTGTCCTGGACTGCCCCCCCACAGAGCACCCATGGCCCCCTGTCCAAGTTTTAGTTAGGGGTATATAGTAAAAGTCATGGACAGGTTACGGGCCGTGATTTTTTGTTTACTGCCCGTGACCGGTCCATGACTTTAACTAAAAATACCTGTGACTAAAACATAGCCTTAATAATGATTATGCACCAGGCTGGTTGACCTAAGAAGAGATTCCCAAGCACTTCAACCAAAACACACTGGTTTAGATAAAATAATAAAACAAGTTTTATTAACTAGAGAAAGATTTTAAGGGATTACAAGTGGTAAGGCATAGAAGTCAGAATCGGTTACAAAAGAAATTAAAGGATAAACAGGCAAGCTAATTCCTAAACTTTACCAAGGCTAATAGGCTTAAAAGCAAAAGGGTTGTCTCACCATGAGCTGCAATACATTTCACAGGCTGCATCATTTTCCAGCCTGGGACCACTCCCCCTGCCCCTTTCTTCTTCTTATTAGCACAGAGATGGAAGGAGGAGATAGGTGAGGTGAAGGAAACTCTTATTCTTTTATACCCACCTCCTTTCTTTGAGGATTACCCTCTGCTACCGTGTAGACTAACAGTTCCCTGTGTACCTGAGATTTGAAATGTTCCTGCAATGCAATGTAAATTTCTTGTTTATACCTTCCATGCTGCTGGTGAATAAACAGTTAAGTAAGTGATGGCTTTTTAGCACCTTGCTGGCATGCTAGCGTGCCTTTGTCTCTGAGAAAATGGTTTGTGGGTGTTACCCAGAACTACAAATATTTCAGTAACAATCATACAGCAAAATCTCATAATTTTACATGCAGTGATGTTATACACATTTCAACAGAATAATAATATTCAGCAGATTGGGTTTTCAAAAGATACCTCCCAAGGTGTACTTTGTACAAACTATATTGTAACCTTACAAAAGTGGTGAACATGAGGTATTGAGTGACATATGAGGCAGAGGTCCTCAACCAGGGATCCATGGCCCCCAGGGGTCTGTGAGTCCTTTCAGGAGGGCCGTGGGGCACCGTGGCAGAAACACGAGTCCCCTGGCACCCTCCTGCAGGCCTGAAGCTGGGAGCCTTGGCGCTCCCTCCCGTCTCAAGCTGGGAGCGGTGCAGGGCTGAAGCCAGTGGGCCCCACCCGCAGTCTGAAGCCAGGAGTGCACATGGGGCTGAAGTCGGCGCCTGCCGCCGCATCTGAAGCCATGAGCACGTGCAGGGCTGAAGCCAGGACCACCACCACCCCAGGTCTGAAGCTGGGAGCAGGTGTGGGGCTGAAGCACCCCATCCCCCCCGTCCCCTCCATCTGAAGCCAGGAGCAATGAGGGGCTGAAGCTGGCATTCTTCTGCCTGCCCAGACTGAAGCCAGGAGCAGTGTGGGCTGAAGCCAGCAGCCCCCCATCTCCAAAGCCAGGAGTGGTGCAGGGATGAAGCCGGGAGCCCTAGCACACTCCCCCCTCTGCTGAATCTGGGAGGTGCACAGGACTGAAGCCACAATGCCTGGTGCTCCCCGTGGGCAGAAGCCCTGCCAGCCCTTGTCCCCCGCCCCCCCTCCCCCCCGGGCCCTGGAGTTTTTATAGCATGTTGAGAGAGGCCTCAACAAGAAAAATGTTGAGAACCCCTGATATGGGGTATAGGGTGTCACATACATTTCCTAATATAGATACATCCTAGCTTGGGAGCCCTATTATTAATAAAATTTCCTTATACGGATGCAGGAATTGCCAGACTGGATCAGATCCATGGTCCATCTAGTCCAATACCTGTTGCCAAAAGCAGATGCTTGCAACAAACCCTACAGTGGACAGATTATCCAATATCTAATAGTTAGAGACTGGCATAAACCCAGAAGCATAAGAGATTTTATATCCATTCCAAAACATTGTAAATATTTGCTGTTGTTATTCTGGGTATTCTTGTTACCCATATAAGTGCGAATTCCCTCTTTTAATTTTGCTAAATTTTTGGCTTCAACTTCTTGGATTAATAAATTCTAACGGCAAAAGAGACCACTGTGATCATCTTTCTAGTCTGATTTCCTGCATAACACAGGCCATAGAATGCTCTAAAATAATTGCTGTTGCAATGAATTCCATGGTCTAATCAAGCATTGCGTGAGCAGTATTTCTTTTTATCATTTGAATTCCCTGCCTTTCAATTGAATTGAATGTCCCTTGGTTCTTGTCTCATGAGACAAGGAGAACAGAAATTCCTGATCCACTTTTATCACGCCTCTTTTTATTTATCTTGGGAGTTTTTCAAATGTGTCAAAGGGATTTGGGAGCACAAATCCCATTGACTTTCTAACGTAAACAATTCCAATTTTTTCCAGTCTCGTCATATGAGAGTTTTTCCATACCCCTACTCATTCTCTTTGCCTGTGTCAGAATCCTCTCAAATTCTACAATATCGTTGCAGAGATGGAGTGACTAGTACTGAACACAGTACTGCAATGATTTATATAATAGCATTATAACATTTTCCACATTATTCTCCCTCCTATTCCTGATGCATCATAAACTTTTCTTTAATTTTTTGAAGTTTTTGTTTTTTACAGCAGCTGCACATTGAGCTATCAATAATGATGCTCAGATCCTTTTTCTGAGTTGATAATTTGTTTAGAACTCATTAACGTGTATATTCAATATAGTGTTTTTCCTGAAGTGTGCCTTATCTTACATTTATCAACATTTAATTTCATCTGCCATCATGTTGCCCATTCACCTAACTTGGCTAGTTCCTTCTGACGTTCCTTATAATCCTTTCTGGACTTGACTTAATTAAATAATTTTGTGCTATCTGCAAATTTGCCACTTCTCTGCTCACCCACTTTTCTATATAGTTAATAAATATATTAAACAAAACCAGCTCTAGCACAGAACATTATGGAACCATTTTCTTGATTTTCTGCCATGATGAAAATTCACCATTTATACCTACATTACATTTTCAGGCTCTTAGCCAGTTTTTGATTCAAGGCAATATTTTGCATCTAGCCTCCTGACTACTTAGTTTATTTAATGGACTCTTGTAAGGGACTTGTCAACAACAGCCTTTTGAAAGTCTAAATAAATTATTGTGTGCTATCTTGTTGTAGCCATGTCAGTCCCAGGCTATTAGAGAGATGAGGTGGGTGAGGAAGTATCTTTTATTGGACCAACTTCTGTTTGTGAGAGAGAGAAGCTTTCAAGCTTACACAGATCTTCTTCAGGTCTGGGAAACGTACTGAAAGCGTCACAGCTAAACACAAGGTGGAACAGATTGTTTTAGGATAAGTAGTTAACCCATAGTTCAAGGACCATTTAAGGTGAAATGGCCCATTTACTCCCCTGCAGTCATAGGAGGGAAAGGAAAGCAGGAGGGAAAGGCAATTGGGGGCTTGTTAGTGGGTTATATATTGTAATAAGCCATAAATCCAGTGTCTCTATTCAGTCCATTACTTTTAGTGTTTAGCAGAGTAATGAATTGAAGCTCCCAGGCTTGTCTTTTGAAAGTGATGTGCAGGTTTTCTTTGAGGGTGAGGACCAGTAAGTCAGCTATAGCATGAGTTTTTGTGAGAAGTGTTCACCCACAGGTGATGTGGTGTTTCTGTCTTTTTATCATTTTTCTGTGTGAGTTCATTTGAGAGCATCGTGATTGTCTGGTTTCACCCGTATAGTTGCTAGGGCATTTAGTGCACTGGATGAGGTGGACCACATACTGTGATAAGCATGTGAAAAACTGTTCCACCTCGTATTTAGCTGTGGCATCCTCAGTATGTTTCCCAGACCCAAAGAAGAACTCTGTGTAAGCTCAAAAGCTTGTCTCTCTCACCAACAGAAGTTGGTCCTATAAAAGATATTACTTCACCCACCTTGTCTCTAAATAAATCATGTCAGTTTTCCTTTATCCTCTCCTTTATTTAGATATTCAAAAATGCTAATAGGCATG